CCCCCCGGTGATGCTGTCCTCACTTTAGGAGAATAAAAGCCTCTTTAGTTTGGTATATGTGCCTTGTTTGCCGTGGTCCAGCTCTTGGTTACTGTAATGTTGAAATCCTTCCTCTGTCTCCATTTCCCACCACATACTGTGAGAGGAGAGCAGAGGCCAATAAGACAAGGAGACCGCAGTAATTCCCAGACATATCTTGTTTAATCTCATGACCATTACACATTACAGCCTGCACTGATATCAGGATATGAGGCTGGCTTCATTTCCTTCCTTTAGCTCACTCCATTGTCTAGTTACTCAGTGGACAGGAAGAGCAGGAGGAGGGGGGGAGCTCTCAGCTTGACAGTCTGCATTACATTTGGATATTGTTCATTTGCAGCTGTCAGAAACATAACAAAAACATATTTTATTTTGAGTGATTTAAAGAGGGGAGATTTGCATGTTTTTTACAAATACAAGTTTTAAAAATATTTTGTAAAAGTCTAAAATACATATTTTTGTATGTTTTATTTAAAAGATACAAATAGTATCAATTAATTGGGCCACCGAGGATTGTGAAGGGCTTTAGAATGATTTTTTTTAAACAAATGGATATTTGCCTAATGCACACTGTTTAACTGAATCCATTCATCCAGCATTAGGTTAAATGGTCCCCAGGCCACTAACTGTAATAAAGGCCCAGACCATGATCAAACTACTCTCATGTTTTATCCATGTCACTAAAGTCTGCATCCTCTTTATTCAAACATTCCAGCCAAAATGATCCAGTTTTATGATCAATCAAAAGACTTCCTTAGTTGTTCAACTAAATATTTTGACACCTTTATTCAGTCAGAATGCACAGCTGGTTATTCACTCGTCAATGGTTTGTGTATTTTTGCAGGTGTCACAGTGTGGCAACACAATGCAACATTGCTCGACAGTTGGTTAAATCTCCTTAATGTCTTTTTTGCACAAAACTGTCTTGAATTGCCTGTCCAAACATCACACATACACTTGTCTCAAAATGTGCTAATTGCATTCCCTGTTGGGAAAATTATTAGGTTCCTGCTTTTGGTGAAAGTTCCATTTTAGAAAATCAGACAAGCCCATTGCTCCTGAATACTATACAAGAACTGAGTATGGTATTCACAAATGTTTTAAATGTGCATTGTTTTATTATGTTTTTAAGCCAAAAAGAGATAAAAATTCCTTCAAAACTTAAGCTTGTAGAGTTGGGTGGTAGATAACTTGATGGTGTAAAACTACAATAAACTAGGATTCTAAAGTCAAAACAAACCAAATGTAATTTCTGCTAATAGTAAACAAATACTTCATTGTGAATTTATATGTGCAAACAATTGGATAAAGATTTCTAATTAAAAGCAGCCTGTTGATCTCACTGAATAATTCTCGTGCAATTGCCAGATCCTTCAGAAAACTGTAGTACATGACAGGAATAAAAATCAAAACAAAAAAACTACTCGGCACATTTTCAAAAACTGTTACAACAATGATGTGCAGATAGTTGCCAGTCTTTGGAATCATTTCAGTTTCTGTCTCTCCAGTCTTGCTGTCTTGGTCACTGAATGGATCATTTGCTGTCAGGACCACTGAAACCATACCCCCCAACCCTGAACTCTCATTCCTGCTGGCCTCTAAAATATTCATGAGGACAATTAGGAGTTCCGATAAGGCCTGTACGGAGGGCTGGGAGGGGTCGTGCGGCAGAAAGGGCAGGATGTGCCAGCAGGACGTCTGTTCTGCAACACTCTATACCCTGACCACAGACCTGTCCTCATCAATCTGAGACACAGCAGTAGGCCTGTCACGATAACAAATTTTGCTGGGCGATTAATTGTCTCAAAATTTATTGCGATAAACGATAATATTGCCTGGTGACCGTTTTACAACTA